AGTCTTTGAGCACTGAAGTTGAACGAAACAAGGGTATCAGATGACAAAACTCGAAATCATAATAGTACTGACGATCATCAAGGACTCTAGTGTGGCCTCGAAGTAGAGAACTATTAGCAAAAATTATTCGAGGGTCCGTGACATCGTTATCCCCACGCCGATTGAAGAGGGCAAATCTGACGTCCCGAATTTCTTCCCCTAGTAGTGACTTGGCAAGGGCATGATGTAACTTTTGCTCGAATCCTTTACTTGGATTGCCCGCAGAGGTTATTGTCGGTTGCCAAAGGTCGACATTGATCTGTTCCATTGCGAGGCAAGAATGAGAAGAATCATTGAAGATACCTAGATATACTGTCGCTCGAACGCCGATCTTTGAACGCCGTCAATGACAAGGCGGGCTACTACCTTCTCGTAATAGAAGAGAAGCCACAGCTTCTCGTGTAGAGCACCGGCCGTCTAATTCTAAATGACTGTTGTGCTTTATAGGAATCCCAGCGAGCTGGGGTTGCGTACTTTACCTGCATGTAGCATATTGCTACTTAGTTATATATATGTAGCTAGTGTTATGTGGTCCTCGGTGCGACCTGGATTAGATTAGACCAGATCGCAGGTTAATTCTGAACACAAAAAGATTTCGGAGTCTGATATATTGAGAGATCGCAATCTTGCCACGAGGTTTAAGTAGGATACGTTACTTGAAGACGTAAAATAAGCGCCCATCCGCCCATGCAATAGTCCAGGGGAGTTTGTCCTCGCTTAGAGTTGTTTTATCGAGGCAAAAACAATTCAGTAGAGCGAGCAACGAGACTCGGGCCTGAGAGCCTGTAACTATTGTGGGAGGGTTTTGTCGCGCAGGGATGGCTCACTGATTCTACTAGTTGAAGGGTGCTTCTTGTTTGAAACGCTTCTGAGGATCATCCCTGATATATAACGGCAAATCTGCGTATTATTATACATACCAACAAGAGATCGCCCTCAAATAGCCAGTGGAGCAACGGGGGCAGGACAGAGCACTGCTATGAGCCGCCTACCTTGGATTTACGATAGGTCATTCACACGTTCAGAAGACTTTCCAGAGTCAGAACAGCTTTCGGAGTCGTGGCCGCCATGCCGAACTTTTCCTTACATAAGCTCATATTCTTCAGACAACTGGCAGCACCGACACCGACGGCGAGCACAATTCTTTTCCTCTTCATCGTTCATGGGGCCTACGATGGCCACGATGACCAAGAGACGTGCCTCGAGGTCTCCCAGCTCACGGTCGCCCAAGAGACATGCCGGGTCTTCGCCAGAGGAGGGTGAGGTCGACGATAGTTCGCCTGGGGCATCTCTCGCTCCTTCACCAGTGCCATACTTGTTGCCAAAACCTGCTACTGCTCCTCCAAAGCCAAAAGTAGCCTTTCCTTTTAAAAGAAAGGGTAACCATACCATTACTCGCGTGCCATTACCGTTTTTCGACCCGAAAGATGGTCCAGGAGTGTACGATAGGTCTGCGGAAGACGAGGAGAAGTTTGCCTCGAGACAACGTAACAATGGGCGGGAGTCTCACAATCGGGACACATGGGTATCTTACAATGGTAGCCCTTCTGACCGCCGGCGCAGGCCTCCTGCGCCACGACAAAATTCTTACCGAAGCTCAAGGTCAAGGTCACCGCGTTCTCACCGCTCTCGCTCTCCGAGCTCTCCGCCACATGAAGGAAAACACCGGTTGCCTCCACGCAGATCCCCAGCCAACTACGGCAGTTTTAGTCCATTATCGAAAGGGAACTATAACCACGACGGCGGCAGGGTTCGAGCAACATATGACAGGAACGATGCACACGAGCTAGACTGCAGACGGGGCTCTGACTTAAATCGAAATCATAACCATTTCTCACGCAATGAGAACCGCTTTTACCGACCTACGTATGAGAACGACCATTATGGTCCGCCGCGTCCAGAGGACTACCATCGAGGGTACAAGGACCGGAGTTTTCGAGACAGGAACGATCTCTGGGACAAAGACTACAGTCATCGGCGTGTAGACAACTACTCGAGGCATCCGCACCCACCCGCTCCTTATTCTATGCTGCCACCTCCTGAACCCAAACCAAACAGCCTGCCGCCTCAACCCAAGTCATCCCCGCCGCCTGAGCCACCACCTGACCCTCGGCTGATAAAAGATACCACGCTACCTCAGGAGCATCAGACGGTCAGCATTGCACTGAAGCGTCCACCACCGTTACACGAAGGACCTTCTTCGCCATATCATTCAGCCCCTCCTCCGTCCCTGAATGATCTAATGGAAAGAAAGAAGGAGGATGATCGGAGAAAAGAGGAAGATAAACGGAAGGATGAGAGGACGAGGGAGGACGAGATGAGGGAGAAGGAGGGGAGAAGGAGGGAGAAGGAGAAAGAGGCGAAGGAGGAAGGGAGGAAACAGGGAGGAAGGAAGGAGGATGAGAAAAGAGGGGATAACTGGAAGAGGGAAGATAAGCAAGAACAGGAATCATTGAAAGCGAAGTATTATCGCCGACGTAACATTGTGCGGAGGTCGCCAGATGAAGAGATGAAGGCTTATGGTCGGAAGTTCGAAGGGTGTGGTCTGCAATCTGACTATGACGTGACGACCAAGCTTGGAGAGGGAACGTTCGGGTAAGTGAATGTTATGTACCTGTGTTTGCCAGCCTCATCTTTTGCAGTGAGGTTCATAAAGCCATTCATAAGGAGACTGGAAGACATGTTGCATTGAAGCGCATCTTGATGCACAATGAGAAGGAAGGCATGCCAGTGACCGCACTCCGGGAGATCAAGATCCTCAAGGCTCTCAAACATCCATCTATCATTGAGATTTTGGACATGTTTGTGGTACGAGGTGCGTACCTACCTTGCAAACCGTTCAGATTTGATTAAACTGGAATTTAAGGCACTGAGAAGGATCCTCTATCCGTTTATATGGTGTTCCCGTACATGGATCACGATCTCGCAGGTCTTTTAGAGAACGACAGGGTCAAGCTACAACCTAGCCAGATCAAGTTGTATATGAAGCAGCTCCTTGAGGGAACGGAATACATGCATCGCGTATGTGAATATCCTTTGTATGATATGTTTGTCTCACCGGTCATTTCTGCAGAACAACATTCTTCATCGTGATATGAAGGCTGCCAACCTCCTCATCTCCAATACTGGCTCGCTTCGGATAGCTGATTTCGGCCTCGCTCGTGCCTATGATAGTAATGTCACACGTGTCGGAAGCGATGGGCGAATAAAAGAACGCAAATATACGAACTGTGTTGTTACACGATGGTATCGTCCACCTGAGTTGCTTTTGGGCGCGCGCCAATACGGTGGAGAAGTAGACATTTGGGGCATCGGGTAAAGCACACCTTTCTATTCGCTTGGTAATTCTCAATACTTTTTAGCTGTGTTTTGGGCGAAATGTTCAATAGACGGCCAATACTTCCTGGTAACTCGGACCTTGACCAATTAGAAAAGATTTGGCAGCTCTGCGGGACGCCGAATCAGCACACTTGGCCCAATTTTGATGCGCTTCCCGGTTGCGATGGCGTCAAGCGTTTCCAAACACACTCGAGAAGGGTAAAACAAACTTGGGATAGGTATGTGGAACTGTACCTCTAATCGCATGTGTGAGCTGACTAGTTCGGCGGCCGTGTCGCATCAGTGTTGGACCTGACACCTGTGATCTCCTGGACCGGTTATTGACGTGTAACCCAAGAGAACGCATTACTGCTGCTGAAGCCCTTGATCATGAGTACTTCTGGACCGACCCTCTACCCGCTGATCCCAAGACGTGCGCGGTCATTTCACTGTCCTTCTGATATCTGATGAGTCAATTTTTCACAGGTTGCCTACGTACGAAGCCTCGCACGAATTTGATAGACGTGGGCAGCGCCAGCAACCACCACCCATGCACCACCCAGCCAACTACCCTCCCTATAATATTCAAACTGTCTCTCGCGGCCGTACTGGCTTTCCATTGTCAGTCCCTCCTCACGATTTCGTTCTCAATCGTAACCCGCACAACCACAATCCGCACAACCACAACCGACCCGTGCCATATCCTTCACATGGACCTCCGCGTGGCCCACCCCAACCCAGCCATCCACATAATTATCATGTATATGGTTCTTCCGACAACCGTGCCCACCCCAATCAACCATCAGATCAATCCAGATGCACTGTTGGAGGCGGAGGAACTTGGCGAGGGCCTCCACATTACGACAACCAACGTGCTTCCTCGGGCGATCGTTGGATTCCGCGTCATTCCTCTTCTCACCCGCCTCACCTCCCAGCCCGGCCTTTGGCACCTATGGGTATTGGCTCACACCCAGGTGATCCAGGCAGGCACGGCGATACATCTCATCCTCCCCCTGGTGGGGGTGAAGACAGACTCAACTACGGTTAGATATCGTTGGTACTTCTAATGGTCAAGGCAAGTCCTTTTTTCTCAACCATACTTATCTGCTATCGCATTCACAAGACTCCATGATCATTCGTGTACATAATATACTTGGGATTACTAGGCGGACCTGCATAATTTGTTCATCCGGTAGTTAGATCTTCATTTCGTATCAAGATAGTAGACCATGCGGTCTGTAGTGTATTGTAAAAAAATTATATCTGCATTGTATGATGTTACCTTGATGCACGCTTGGAAATGTGGCGAGTCCTACCACACATAACCTGACTTTCCATTTTCCCTTCCGCTTCAATCAGTATATAGTACCTTTGCTTATAATTTATATGAACCCTTAGCTCAGCGGTAGAGTGTGTGATTCCAGTTCTCGGAAATTCCACAAAGTCATCTGTTCAATCCAGGTAGGGTTCAAAGTTTTTTGTTTTCAGTTTTTTTTCTTTCGTTTTCAAGTAGAACCTCTTTTTACGGGATCCACTAGAAGTCTCTTATTCTCTTTGATGACTTTCTATGTTGTGGACCAACCTTCTCTGTTTCCCTCTGAACGTAAACTCACAGTCAAACTAAGACATAATAGTGAAGACATGAACCCTTAGCTCAGCGGTAGAGTGTGTGATTCCAGATCTTGGAAACTCCACAAAGTCATCTGTTCAATCCAGGTAGGGTTCAACCTTTTGAAATCTTTTATACAATCCCCTGCACATTTTTTGTAGTAGAAGAGAAAGATTTTCACACCTGAACAGAAAAGCATATATACATATGCTTGCGGTTACAAGATCTATGGTCTTCAATCATGGTTTGCTAATTGATCATCGATTTGAATACCGATGTAGTCAGGAACTTGCAATTATCTACATGAATCAGCGGTAAAAAGCTTCTCGGTGTGGTGGACTCAAAGAGGCTCATTACTTACTCTCAATCAGACTATTCGACGATATGAAATCAAGGGTCTATCTTACGGAGCTTACAATACACAATTGACAAGTAACAGTGGAAATTTCAGTCGTACCACGTGTCCATTCCAGTAAGGCTCTCATAATGCTTCAACAAGCTTGCAACATCAGCACCTGTGATAAATCGGTTGACTACTAACATCTGTGAACAATGTCAGGACATTTCACACTCACAAAGACCATAGCAAATACCAGCAACCAATACCGCAATGCATCCCAACCAGCAGCACGATGTATCATCCTCCAGTAATAATCAATGAATGCCTTAGTGCCTTTGAAATAATTCTTGATAAATGTTTTCCTATTGAATTGTCAGCCTCTCAATCCAGATGCATATAACAAAGAATTTACCTATTCAACACGATCCACCGTCCCCATAGAGCATGCATTACTTTATATTCATCCTTGACATTATCGCTATCATAAATCTCGTCCTCGCGGTCCAGTACATCCCACGAGAGTACACCATACGGTTCAAGTGGGAGGGTATTAAGCAGATCGAACAGACACTCGCCCCCAGGACGGCACGAGTAGTAGATATCAGGACCGCCGTATTCTGATTTTGCCGGGAGATATGGTGGTTGGGCGGCTGGCCCAAGAGGGTTACTGGGAGGCGGCGGTGTTGGGTATCGAGGATCGCGTGGGCGTCGTGCGGAAGGTGTGACTGTAGTAGCTGTTGTCGTAGAACGGCCGTGCGACGAAAGTGGTACCGTGAATGGAGTCATCATCGAATGAGAATCTCGAGAAGTTGAGGTAAACGACGTTGGTGAGTCCCGCACGTTGGCAAGTGGGGATGAGAGATCTTGGGCACGGGCTCGAGCACTTGATGAAGCAGACACTGACTGTAGTTCAGGGGGTGATAATGTCACAAATGGAAAGGGGCTAGAGATATCCTGCTGCTGCTGTTGTCGCCTGGGAGTAGGCAATGGGGTAATCACATTGAAAAGCTGTTCTGTAGGGGAAACACCATGCCTGTGTTATAACTTAGTTATGGAATCACTAAAAGACATCGTTGGAACTTACTCATTGTCCTCTGCAAAGCCTATCAATGGGTCCGTGACCATGAGTCGCATATACCAAACCTGGATACAACAGCATCCATCAACGTGGACACAAGTAGCTAATAAAATACTTACACCTGATCGGTATCGTTTCCACGCAGCAGGAGCTTCATCGTGGTCCCAGCTCAAGTGACATGCTAACATTTCTCGAGTAGGAAAGAACCCGTGCAGCTCACACAATGGACAAGCCCAATCATGCAGCCGCACGGTAACGATCTTTGATCGATATTCATATTGCACACGTAGCCTCGTTCCTTGCTCCAGAGCTGATTCTGTAGGGACACCAAGCTGATGACAACGTTTTGTAAAACCACACCTTAGGTTACGTCGGAGAAAAGGAAGCTGTTTTGTACTCTGCATGCGCACTAATGCTAGTGATAGGGCGTTGATTGCCTTCATCATTCCTTCTGGGATAGCTAGTGGGCTTGGAGGACGCGGCGGACCTGGAAGAATCTCAATTTCGGCGGGGCTTAATGAACGTTGACGTCGAGCGGTGATCACGATTTCCTCAATATCAGAGTGGTGGATGCCCTCCTCAGATGAACTAGAATCAGAAGAGTTGAGCTCGTCCACCTCATCTGAGGATGTCACTGGTTCATCCCCGTCGCTCGAATCTGGGTTGAAAGGCAATGGTTGTGGCCATTCACGCTTGCGTGCCGCTTTGACGCCAGTTTGTTGCAACCTATGTGTTTCATCGGTAAACACATGGTACTCAATAGTTCGGATGGAACGAAGGAGACAGACAGCCTGCTCACCGGGTCGCCCTTCGTGGCGGAAGCGATTGTTCATCTATTTCCATCGGGGAATCATAGTCACTCTCGCTGTCTGGTTCACCTTGTTTCTTTAACGTGAAATTGCGGCCCAGGTAGCCTCTCGAGTGCTTAGGTGCATCTTTGAAATGATGGGGTTGTGAGGTAGGAGCAGTGCGCCGACCAGGGCCTATACGCTTGATATAATCCCGGTCCGGATGGTCCATGCGGGCCATATTTTGTTGTTCTTTAGCACGCCCTTCGTCGTCCAATTGCCAGTGAGGTTTCATCGATCTAGACTTGACTGAACGCATAACAAACTCTGAGGACGTGATCACAGAGAGGCGACGTCTTGGCCACGGGATCTCGCCATGGCTCTGGATTTGTTCACTGTCCATGAGCTGTTTTGATGTAGAAGACGAATTTAGGAGAAGTTCGACATGAGGCTGTCTTGGTTGGTTACGATTCACGAAAGGGCTTGGTAGAGCCAACGAACTTCGGTACTGAGAGGAGTCTGGATTCTAAAAACTGGTCATTGATCTCGAGACACTTGAAAAACGAGGATATCATACCTTTGTGAGGTCAATCGTTGGTCGCTCTGTTCTTCGAAATTCATTGCGGGAGTAATTCGAGGGCCCGGCAACGGCATTAGTGTAGGAGAGGAATGGTCTAGCAGACTCAAATGGAGCATGCGAGCCTTTCACTCGAGTAAGAGACTGCGGAGAAGCAATAACATCCCGGCTCGATGTACTTTCTTGGGAACCAGACTTCCGAGCGAAATTTTCAGGTTGATTCGGTCGAGCCCTCTATTGCACAGATGTATCGGTCATAAGTAACCCAACGTTAGATATGTTGTTTACCTCTACTATTATATTCCCTGTTGAATTTTTCATTCGATTTCGATTTTGACTGGCATCAAGGGGCGCCATCTTCCCAGCGACATTTGATTGCTATAGTCACTGAGTGAGCATCGATCTATTGCTAGAGCGTTTAACTCACCTGCAAAGGGGATGCACCACCTCGAATTTGCATCCTAGTGTCTATAAATCCAGTAACCGCGTTGACTTGTCGACTCCGATCATCGCCCTCCGCGTGCGGTTCATGGGACGAACGTGTATCCTGCCCTCTCAGTACAGATTGCACAATCCCGTCGGTCTTTGTTGAAGATTTGCGCGCCGTGATGACTGGTTCTCCTGGATCTTTCGATGGGCGAGTCTGAGAGCTCCAAGAACGCTGTAAACCAGATGACTTTGCTGCTGGTCTACCACCACCTTTGATACCCAAGCCAGTTTTTTGCGTTGGGAGTGAGCCTGCTCCGTCATCACCCTCCATCGTTTAGACTCGGATGCAGAAGCAGACCTGCTTTTCGTGAGAACATGGCTAGAACTCGTGCAGAGTGATTTGGCAAGAACCGCGGAGTTCTTCTCCAGTCGGCAGTAGCCGAACGGCTTATAAATTGCGAATTTCTTCGTGGCGTCTTTGTCTTGATGTCTATATCTTTGACCCCATCCTTGCGTTTTCACCGCGGCTAGGGCAATGTGGCATCGTAGATTATTTCCAGCTTCACTTTCGCTAGCAACACTAGCCTTTGGGCCATGATGGATTTCTAGATAGTAGTGAAAGCCACATTATATGCAATCCGTTTGAGAATAAGTTGAAAGTTCCTCTTCACAGTAGGTTTGTAGATCACAGATTGTGGATGTTTTCGTACGATCTAATACAAGTCATTTGAAAATGACTTCCGTCTCAGCCGCACACACCGCTGCCGGATATATGAAGACTACAAGAGGTAATATGGCGGCGCAAGATCATTCTGCAACTAGCCGGCTACACACGTAGTCCCGGTTAACCTAGTGGGTTTATGGATCAGAAAGTGCGAATGGTTTTGTGGATCCGAATACAAGTCATTTGAAAAAGACCTCTTTGGAGACAGGCACAGTTCAGTTGTAAGACGATGCGAATAAATTGCGAGCATGGACACATAGTATCTAGGCCTTGCTAGCAGCACCAGCAGCAGCCTTCGCATCTTCAGCAGCGGCTACTGCAGGGTTGACCTTTTTACCATCCTTCCAGCGGATACGAGGAGGGGGCGCACGGTTACGACGTCCCTCGCGAGAGCGAACACGAACAACTAATATAGAGAGACAGATCATTCGAAAACTAAAGGGAACCACAATGAAAGAAGCTCACCATGTGAGTGGATGGCACAAGATACACAGTACGCAATTTTGATGTACAATTTCGGGATAACGTACTCTGTCAAGTGGATTAGCAAGTTTCGAGAAGAAATATACTTCTGACATACCAGGATAGACTGAGGCTTCACTGATATCCCTAACGGCAGCACTCTCAACCATGTTCCTCACTGTGAAACGTTTGATGGCCTTATCCTTGGGCACGCAGCGCGAGCAGTTGGAGCAGCGCATAAAAGATACATGGCCACGTCCTTTCTTGTTGCGACCGCCATTTCTTCTTTTCTTAGTCTAGGAAGAACACGAATAAGTACAAGTCCACGCCAGCGTCATCCACTAGCCAAAGTGTGCATCCGTCCCAATTTCGCCCAGATTCACGGAATTCATCAACAGGACTAGAGCAACGGCGGCAGACACGAAGCTGAGGTAAAGAATAAACTCACCATTTTGTTGCGTTGAGTCGAGGGGGTCGATGGGCGAGACAGCGACCGCTCCGTTTGTTGGTGCAGAGGCCTTTCGGCTGTTCCCGGTGGATGTTCCCACGGTACGGAATGAACTTCACTGTTTTTGTTTCAGGAATCTGGATGGGATACAAAGCACCTCTTACGAAAATGTTGTTGTCAAGACTCTTTTACGTCCATCCTTCTTTTGTAATCCTCATCATGCCCGGTGCTCCTCAAGCTTTAGCCGATCACTTCACTCATTTATAACAGC